TTTCAGACCTGACTCAGATTTATTTTAAAATATGTTTTATTTATTTTTGATTTTTATAGCTAATAATGGCGATTTTAAATATTTGGTTTTAAAATATACGGCTCGGTCCGGTCCCACCCGGCCTAGGTATATTTAAAAAATTAAAATATGACCGCCCGTGTACCCGGGCCAGGCTTAGGGCCAAGCCTGCAGGTCTCTGATATTTATAAACGATCATGTTCTTTCATAGGTAACAATATGACATTATCAATATCGTTATTATTAATTTTCTCACATCCTCGCCGCTGTAGATGACATAAAATTAAATAATTTTTTTTTGCAATTTCATAACATATTGTTTTTTTTGTTAGCCTTTTTGTCATGATAAAAATATTTTCGATTTAAAATAATAATTATTTGTCAATTGATTTAATTACTTTAAAAAAAGAGAGAGAAGTAATTTAAGTCATAATTGGAAGAATTTAACTCATAGGTCAAACTCAAATCTAAATTATATATATTATTAATTCTCTATGTTTTTATTATTATTAACGTTTTAAATGAAAAAAAAAGCCATATTAAATTTAGCAAAGTTTATTTACAATAAAAGCAATCAAAAATTATTTTACGTGTTCTTTAACCTTTGTATGTTTGATTATTTTTTACTAAATAACTTATATATATGGAAAATATTTCCATAAATAGAAAAATTATAAAAGGATTGAGAGCAAATTTAAATTAATCTTAATTTTAAATGCTCTTCAAAATAGATGCCAAATGTGTTTTTCAATTGAATAATAAAAGAATTGGACTTTCGCCTTATTAATATAGTATAATATAGTAAAGATTCTGTGAAAATTTTATAAATAAAATCATCAATAGAGATTTTATCACAATTTACGTTTTCCAAGATCAAAGTCTCAACATCAACATGAAATCACGCTTCTTTCTTGCGCTCGGTGGCGTTAAGGGGACCCGTTTTGAGGGGGATTGGATGGGCTTCGAAATTTTCCTTCGGTAGGATTTTGTACTTTTTTTTCAAAAGATCCGGAAATTAAATCTTGGATACGCCACTGTTTGTGCGCTACTCAATATTTATTTGTGGTAATTTGGAAATCAAACAATAAAAATACATATTAAATTATATCCCAATCAATTTATAATACCTAAGTTTCAAACCGGTTCGCTAGCATTTAAAACTGTCAGTACTCTACTACTTTCAAAGCGTTTTTATAACGGTTCGGTTGTGTTTGAAAATTTGTGACAGTTTATTTTTGGTTTTGCGCCTCGGTTTAGCTGTAGTGTTGCTGAAAGGCTCGTTATGAACCAATTTTGTAAAAAGGGTAGATTCAATAATTTATCAAGATAAATATTATGTATGCAGGCCCTTAAGATTTTGCTCATCGTTAACCCACAGGTTTGAACATCTATTAATAAAATCTCTAGCTATCATGACTAAAATATTGGGTTAACCGAAGCTCAAATGCGTTTAACAACACTAGCACCCGGATTTTACAGTGGCAATAGTTTCCCACTAAAATCCTTGAATACATATTTATACGTCTATGGCGACTTGAGCATAGGGAACGAGTCGATTAGGATCCCACCTAGTATATCTAAGCATTCTTCAGGAGATTTAGGGAATGGAATCCCCTTTCTTGTTCTCTTATATATATTTTTTATTTTATAAAATATGGCTTTTTTTACTTCAAAATTTTATCTTCAATTTTGCGCTTATAATTAAAAAGAATATTTAAAAAAAATCGGTTGACCTTTTTCAAATTTTTCTTTTACAAAAATTTTTTTTTATCACGATTAATCATTTATTTATTAAATATATTTTATTACAAATAATGTGGAAATTTGTTAAGTTTATCGGCCTGAGAATTAGATTGTTCTATATCCACTTGTCTCAAAAAGTGACTTTTTTTTAAACATAAATAAATTTTATATCAAGTAAGTTATAATTATACCCAATATCCTATTAAATAAAAATGTGGAGATGGAATAATCTAATTCTCGGGTGACAATATGTATAAGTATGGTCAAAAAATAACAAAATACTTAAATTACTCATAAATGGGATTTAATTTATAGCCCAAGACCTGATGCAAGGCTAATGGAGTTCGGAGTAGTTAATGTCAACGGTCCAGTCCTATCGGTCTTAGACCGGGACAGGACCGATCTTTTTTTGATGACCGTGGTCCAGACCGGTCCTTTGTTATTATTTAAGTTTGCTTTACTATTCAATTAATATAATTTTTTTGTATATTTTATTTTATAATATTTTTCTAGGGGAGTTATTTTAGATTTTGTTAATTTTTATTTTATGAAAACCATAAGTTTGTCCAAAAAACATTTTACTTATAGTCCCAAAGAGTATGTGTTCACTGCAGTAGCAAATGTATCGTCAGCAACAAGTAACAGTATAATTGTTTATAATTTTTTAAGCAATAAATTAATCAAAATAAGTACTATTATTATTAAAATATTTTGGTTATTATTTATATAGTTCTATTTTTTCTTAAGAAACTGAATAATTCATTGTCAAAATAACTTAACCTTATTCTTAATAAAATAAATAGGTACCTTAAGCAGACATCTGATGAAACATAAAATATATACTTCTAATGATGAAAATGAAAACATCTCAAAAACACAATCTACTCTTAATTTTAATGTGCCCTCCAGAAACACAAAATCACTTTCTTCAATATCATTAAATTTTAAACTGAACATATGAACCAATTAATAATAAAATGGGTAATAATGAACTGTCTGCCAATGAAGACTTTTGATAGTTCAGGTCTTCATAATTTTATCAAATATTTAAACTTATATGCTACAATTTGGTTTAAAAACAAAGTTAAAAATTTTTATACAGCTAATTTTGAGAAACTAAGAAATTCTTTAAAAGATATTTTAAATAAAAATAATTATTTAATAAGCTTTACCATAGGATATGTAGCAGTATAAATAAAATTTTATTCTTAGCCATTACTGCACACTCTATTGATTCTTCTTTTACATTAAAATTTTTTTACTTGCTATAAATCATATCCCATTTCTCATACTTCTGAAGAAATATCCTTAGCTATAAAAGAAGTAATTGATGTATATCAATTGAAGGAGAATATACTGGCCTGTACTACAGATAATGCCAATAAAATCCTAAAAAGCATGGATATTTTGCAGAATATTTATAAGGAACAAAAATTTAAAGTCCCTCTTCTAATTCCTTCCATGGCAGTTCTATAATCAAAGACATTAGCATTTATTTAAATTAAATATTTGTATTAATTATTATTATATTATTCATAATTAATTTTATATTGTTTATATAATACTCTTATATTTAATAAAATGGACCGGTCTTTTTAGTTAGGACCACGGTCTGGATCGAGCAGGTCAGAGGGTATCGGTCCACGGACCAAAAACCGGACCGTGACCTTCACTAGTTCGGAGGATTGTATGTAGAATAAGACCTCTAAATGTGATCATCTCTTCATATTGACCATCTCGCTTAAGTATGGTGATCGTATTACCTCGATCCCTTGAGATAATATAAAAATTATTCTGTCATTTGAACACCTCCATAAAATGGCCAGTTAATGAACCGCTCTTGAGTGATCGTTATGTGGAGGTTTTAACTGTATTAGATATGGGCGAAACTTGATACTAATGGGGTTCGCTTCAAATTTATAATGCTAAATTTCACAATTTTTTGAATTTATTTTAGGAAAATATCATTGATCCATTTGCTTGATTTCTTTGAAAAAACGTGCATGTCAAGGGGGTTAAACTTAAAAAAAATGACATGTATTACGTCGCCTAAATATTTTCTTAACTATATAGCTATTTAACCGACACGATTTCATGTGTTGCATAAGTACGATGACATATATAATAATACCTAGACTGACGATGCATTCATAATAATGCATTTGAACGGGTCGTTGAATGCAAATCAGCTGGACCCGCCATTTTGGTAACCCATATAGTAATTATTCTCATGTTATAAACTATTATTTAGTGAGTCAGATATAGGAATAAATTGGATCGTTTAAAATGTTAAATAATGATATTATGGGTAACCAAAATGGAGTCCCCAGCTGTTTTCATTGATGTACATTTTAAATCTAAATTGCATAAGTTATTCTCAACTATCATTCAATTTCGGTAAGAAGAAAATTACGGTTATTTTTCCCATTTTTAGAGAATCTTATAATTAATAAATTATTATGTAAACAAAGCTGGAACTTTAGCGAAAAAAAAAAATTTGGCAAAAAATGAAATATTGTATAAAATATTTTTTTTTTAAAATGGAAGATTTCTGGTAAAAGACAAAAATTTACCACAAACACCTGTTTACTTTTACATTATATACTCATCAAATTTAATTAAATTAAAAATATTATTTCTTTTTTTTTTTTTACCTGATTTATTTTATTATAATTTATTTTTTTTTTCTAATATTTTATTTTTTTGAAGAAATAATAAAAAAAAACACAATTTTCAAGGTTGCAAAAAAAAACAAAATTACCAAATATAATATAAAATTATTTAAATAATATTAAATCAATAATTAAGAAAAAAAAGTTATACTTAATAAAGCTTAAATAATGTCAAAAAGTGAAACTTTCTATTTTTTAAGTAACATGAGGTATTAATAGTCAAATTTCTGGAATGGCGGGGGAATGGGGTATTCTATTTATAAATGAAAGGATAAAAATAAAGAATAATAAAAATTATAATCCTTTGCCAGTTGGCAGTTCTTCTAAATTTATTTTTTTCTTTTCTCTTTTGGAAGTCTTTTTTCTTATTCTAATCGCTTATTAATTCCTGTTCCCTATATTGTTTTTTATATAGTGTTTTGTTTTAAATTAGATGTTTTTTTTGTTTAATATAATTTTTAATTAATTATTTATTTTTATTTAAAAAAAAACTTTGTAATTATAAATTTGGTGTTTGTTTTTTTTTATTTTTTTACGAAAAAATTTTTTTTTTGTTGTTGTTTACAAACAAACGGCAGATTCCATATTGTCCAACTATTCGATTATTGGAATTGGAATATTAAACAAATAAATCAATAAATATTTATAAAATATATTTTTTTTTTTCGTTGATCTTCATAAATATTACGCTTTAAATTGCTATCAATTCCTTATAATCAAAAAGGTAAAAAATAAATAAATATAAATATAATAATATTTATAATATTTTTTAAAAGTGTTTTATTTTCTTAAATTACTTAATTTTTTTTTAATAAAAAAAACCTATAACCCGGGGCCTAAACCGAACCGTTAACCGGTAATAATCGTTATTATTTACTGATTCTAAACTGGACCTTGGAAGCGTCAAGATTTGTACCATTTGAAACTAGAACCGAGACTCTTTAATGGATTTTAAATCTGGTTGAACGCCCTAGATATCCAAATAATTTTTATATGAAAAAATGAATTTTGATTGGTCAATTTTGAACCGATATTTCAACTATTTTATATAAGGAATAAAAAAAAATTTTCCCCTGATAGAGACAAAATTTGTTAAGAAGAGGTCTTAAAGAATATTTTAAACGCCATAACCGAACCGCTCCTAAAAAATCAGAGTGGACAAGGTTTGAAAATGGGAAACTTTTTAAATTTGAGCGGGACCCTAAAAATTTGATCTATGCGGATCTTTGATATAAATTAAATTAATATTTTTGGTAAATAATCGAATTTTTATAGTTAATTTTTTTCTTTCTATAGCCACCAATTATGCATAAATGATTAAATTTTGCTTGACAGATCTTTCAATATTATCATCGAATACGCGATACGAAAAAAAACGAAAGCAAAATATGAGTGTGGAACCACCAATTCGCTCGCAAACTTGGGACGAAGGCAAAAAACAGATAAATTCTTTCGAGGAAAGAGTCAACGAATTCCTCGGGGAAAAGGGGGAAAAACTGCAAAACGTGGAAAGTCCGCGCATGGATACGGTTTATTTTTTTGCTTAATATATTGTTATTCTAATTAAGCTGTTGAGATGTGTCCTGATTCGACTTATTACTAAACAGTCAGCTGATCTTCGTCTAAACAGCCTACAAAGTTAGTGAGAGAAAAAAAACAACGAAAAAAACAAATAAAACGAAATAAAAACCAGATAAAAAAATACTTAAATGTTCTAGTTCAAAAGCTGTTTAGCCTAATTAATAAGTAGCAAGAATAAGACGAATCAGGGACACGGCGTAAATGTTATCTTTTTTAGTGTTACAAGATCATTGCCCATTTAATCCATCGATGGAAGCATGAGCATTTAGGCCTCACTCCCAAACTCAATTTTTGCCCTCCACTATAATTTTTCAAAACTCGAAAAAAATATAAGCGTCCATGAATATCATATTATAAATTAGTTTGGATTTGGATAATATTTATTTATAAAAAATTTTACGATGAATTATGTCCGGGTGAGGTCTTGCTAACTGTTTATATTTTAGTTTAGGCCGTAGTCAGGATTTTGCTAAGGGTAGGATGGACCGGGACACTAGTGGGAGCGGTTTTTCCCCTATAAAATTTTATTGGAGAACTTTAGGTCCACTTATTGTAGGACTTTGTTCATGTAAAAATTTTATTAAAAAATATGTAAAATGCTTTTTTAAAAACTTAAAAATTTTTCTTTCAAATTCTACATTTTTGGAGGGAGAGAAAGGGGAGTGGCTTGAGGATGTATGTGGGGAAATTTTTTTTTCTATAATTTATAATTGTATTTAAGTAGTTTTTTTAGCCTTATGCAACAAAATAAATTTTATTTACAAACTTTATAACCCCCAACCCTATAAGTTTTCTCATAAAATTAATATGATGCCGTATATTTTCAATAAATGCGTGAAAAAATTAAATATTAAAAAAAATAAATAAAACATCATCCACACATATGAAAAAGTATCTTAATAATTTATTCCTAGTGGTTTCATTTTATATGATCAATTCCTTTAGGAGATATAAAGGTTGAAAGGTGGTTTTATATTTGCACTTCCGCGACCGATGTTATTAATTTATCAGTTTTGAACAATTGTAATGTTTAGTTTGTAATTTAGGACGAGGACAATATCTATTTTATCTATAGATTAGATATAATTTTATAGATTTCGTACGATAACCCCCCTCCCCAAAAATAAAAATTATTTGTCATAATTTTTCTAAAAAGAATAAATATTTACCAAATCAATAAATTTTACTCTAATAAATTTTTAAAAAAATAATAAAAATTAATCATATTGACACAGAAAATTATATATCATAATATCAAAACATAAAAAAATATAACATTACGAATTGAATTATATTTTGTCCTACTTATATCCTTATTAAAAATGAGTTGTTTTTTTGGTTTTTTTCGGTTTTTTTTTCAGGATAAATAATATTAGTAGTATATAATCATTTTAAAAGAGGTTTTAACTCAATTTATCAGTTTGATAAAATTTGATAAAATTATATTTGCAAAAATCATTTTTTCTATTTATGATTCCTGGTAAATTAAACTTGTAAGAATTCAGACTTAATGCTGAGCTAGTGTTGTTAAATAGCCCGATTTTTACATCTATAATCAAAATCTTCAGGCTTACATAAAATTATAAGCCTAGCCTAGCTGATCCATATTGGCTCATTGGTTATGTAAAGTGGATTTGCTAAGGGGGTCGCGTTGATTCCTAAACACCGGATTGGCCGTTGAAAAGGCACACAATTTTCCCACCAATTTTATGTAAAAATTAAATATTAACTTTTGAAGAATATAGACGAATTTATTAATTTTATAATTTTTATTTTTTTTATTTCATTTCCTTTCTTTTATATTTCTTATTTTCTCTCTATTCTTTATAACATATAATTCGTCACGAGATTATTATAAGAAATTTCTAAATGTACTCACCCTTTATCGTACATGAATCAAATCAAATTATTCACAGAAGTCCTCTTAAACTGCATCCTTACTCCTCTAAATTCTTTTTATTAACCGAACCGTTAAACCGGTATTAGCCATTATCATTTACAGAACCTAAACCGAACCGTTTAAAAATTTGTCACCCGAACCTGACCTTTAAAAAGATCGTTAAATCTTTTTGATATTTTATTTCTTTAAAAAAAAAATTAAATTTTGATTGATAAAATATAAGGAACTATATATTTTTTTGTATATCGTGACTTAACGTTGCCAGCTACCCAATATTAAGCATAAGGCTTGCATTCATAGTGGGATCTGATCCGTCACTATTTAACAGCTGATCGATTTTTTTAAAAACCTGTTTATGAGATCAATTTTTCTTTATTCAAAATCAATCGTTCTTTGATTACTATCATGAATAGAAGGAATAAAGCTAATATAATAATATTCTCATAAACAGAAAAATTGATCAGCTGTTTAATCAAGCCGGATAGGATCCATTAAAGAAAAAATTAATTTTATAGATATTCAGCCGACTTTTAAATAAATAAATTGTAAGTTTAATAAAAGTATAAAAATTTTTTTTAAAAAAAATTGCTCGATATTGGCATTTTTTTTAAAATATTTTTTTTTAGATGATGTTGGAATTGAAATGTAAACAAAATATAAAAATGTTGTTTACGCATTTTGTGCTCTCATAATAAGAGTTTCTGTATGAAAATAACGGCAAACTAAAAATTGTATCTCTATCTAGATACATTTTCTAGACTATTGTATCTATATCTAGAATCAATTTAAAAAGTATCTTTTAATAACAGCAAACTAAAAATTGTATCTGTATCTAGATCCATTTCTAAACCTAGTATCTATATCTAGATCCATTTTATTTTATCTTAGTTAGAATGAAATGTGGAATTTATGGTTCCACGGATAGAATTCCAATAGAATAATTCTTCGCATAAAAATAATATTTCTTAAATTCATTTTAAAATAAATTTAAAACATTCGTATAAAAATATAATTCTTTTATTTAATTTACAATTTTAATGAATTCATCATCTTTTTTTCCCCCTTTTTCCTTTAAACATAATAAATAAAAAAAACATTATTCATTTTAAAAACATACAACACTCTACAACATCAATCACCATATCTCTATCATATACTCATAATTACAACACATTTGAAAAGTATCTTTTAATAACTCTGCAGGAAAAGTGATTCTGCCTAAAATTTGTAAAAAATATTATAAAATATCAATGTTTTATATTCAGGGTGCTCTCAAAAGTTTTTAGGAGGCTTGAGCTCCTATGCCATCCCTTCTAACGGCTCTAGCGCTACTGAATTTAATAATATGTAAAATTTTGCTCTGTTCATATTTTTACTATTTAAATTTTTAAAAAAAATAAAATATATATTCATCATTTAGAAGCAATTCTTAGCGACAATGAAAGAACAGGTGAAAGATCAACCGAACCCATATGAGAAGATAGCGAAAGATCTGGTACAGTCCGCTAAATCTGGCGAGGTCGATTTTAGGCCGGCGGATCCATCGCTAGCGAATATAAAAGAAGCATCGGTGACTTACGATACGGGGCAGAGGAATTCAGGAAAAGGTAACGGGATAAAGAGCAAAGAATTGGACGGAAAGGTGGGTAATTGGTACACGCCCGGTTTTCAAGTGCCTTCCTACAAGCCGGATAACCAGAAAAGTTTTCCCGAAAATGTCGATTACACGAGTCCCTCTTACTACAGCTCTCTCGGTTCGGCTCCAACCACTGAGGGCGGAGACCATGACCAAAATAATAATGATAATGATCATTTTCAAGATTCGAACAAAGTTGTTAAGTCCAGTTACCCCGGAGAGCAAGGAATAGAGTCGGAACGAAGTTATACCTTACCCGTTAGAACTGTCAAACCGCTCTCCAGTGACAAGAATATTAAGGATTCCAGCATCAGGGAAGCTACCTTGTATTCCTCTAGGCAAAATAATCCTCAGGGTGTTAGCCGCGAAGGTTATAACGTTTCCGCTCAAGCCGCTTATCATGGGCGCCCGCCCTATGACAAAAGTATGTTGAATTTTTTTTTTTTTATACGAATAGAGATAATAAATCTAGCGAAGGTTATGGTTTGGTCCGCGATGCCGGGTTTAGCACCGTCCGGTCCTTAATCGAAAATGTCTCCCCTTAAGATATTTTTTATAATTATAAATTTATACGAAAAACATATTTAAAATGGATATCATTATTGGGATAGATTCCAAACCGTAATCCCTTGATTTAAACCGTTTTTTGAGAGCCATTTTGAAATTTTGAAAGTTTTGATTTGACCGGAAATGTATTTTAGCCCATGAAAAATTTTACCAAATTTTTGCTAATGAACCTTTGATGTATCTTTCAACTTAAACAAAAATAACCTGTAATAACAATGTAAAGTAAGTTTAGATCACAGGTTCGTGGCACAATTGGCCCGAATTTCTTATTGGTGGAATAAATACATTTCCGGTTAAATAATTTTTTTTAAAAATTTTAAAATTGACCTCATTATTATATTTAAAAGCAAAAGATTCCTTATTACCTAATACGACATATACTATATTTATATATATATAATAAAAAATACAATAAAAATTTAACAAAAAAAATCAACATTTTATAATCTATTTATTTAATCGATTCAATATTTAAACTCAATAAATAAATTTCTTTATTCAATATTTGCCCGTTTAGTCCACACTAAATTATATCATATTTAAAATATCGCGAACGCGACAATAGTATAAAATATGTTTTTTATTTTTTATTTTTGATAAATTTATTTTAAAATCAATTATCCAAAAAACTAAAATAATTTTTAACGGCCCGAAAGTGCGGGCCTACCAGCGGAGACCTCTAGCTCTAGAATCTTAACCCGATTTTTAAGACCGGATGATGTTTCACAAATGCACGGCTGGTAACGATCAACAAATATTCGTTAGTCGTTAGTTAAAAAATGGCTATTTAGCGCGCCGAGGTGAATCTGCTTCTCATTTGAGACACTAGTCGATATATTTCTAATTTTTGGTTTCGGCTAAATGCTATATTTCGCCTTTAGCTGGCAATAACGTCCAAAAAACTGATCATTTTCCCGAATACGGTCAAAACAATGATGTTCATTAATACTAAGAGATTGGCTATTCATGCATTAATAGGAGTTAGTGTAGCGTCATTTTGTGGTTTTGCTCGATTAAGTGACATTAATGTGTGTTAATATAATGATGTCGACATGCTGACCACAAAATGACCATTACGGTTGATTTTATATTATGAATTTGTTATTGAGTCAAAAACGATGATTATGATTAGTGAACAGACGCTTGCGGTTAGTGCTGTTAAACGGCTCGATTTGAGCCGATTTTTAAAAACAGCTGACTCGATATTTTAGCCAGAAAAATATCGCCTAAGCCTCGAGGTTTCGCTAATAGATGGCCAAACCCCTTCTTGACATCTATGGGCAGAGGCTTGCGCAATATTTTCCTGAGTTAAGACATTGAATCAGCTGTTTTAAAGTATCGGCTCAAATCAAGCCGTTTAACAACACTACCCGGTAAATTGAATAGGTTTTTAAATTTAATGCAAATTAAACTCGGTTCTTTTTCACTTATATTTCCTTTTCTTTCAAAATAAAATCTGATAATATTTTTTTTTAAAAAAAACTCCTTTAGTTAAATAAGTATAAAATTTAAAGTGTTAAAGCACATTTAAAAAAGTATTATTTTACAAAAATAAAATTAACCTTGATTTTAAAGTAAATATTATTATTTAAAAAAAAATAATTAAATATAAAATAAAAAGGAGTAAAAAGCTTATAATTTAAAAAGTATCACAAAAATAGTTATAAATTATAAATTTATAAAAAAAAATACAATTTATTTTTCCTCTTGGGAATTTTTCATGATTTTTATGATTTTTTGGGATTTTTTTCAAAAAATAAAATTTCTATCATAATTTAATATTCCGGAAAATTCGTGCAAATTGATTTTGCTATATCCAACGATTAAATCAAAAGTAAAAATAATGATTCAAATTTTATTTTTATTACTTTTTTAAAACAAAATTTATTTAAATTTTTTAAAGTTATTTTATTATTTTTTAAAATTATTTCTTTACATAATTTAAATATAAAATATTGTAATTAAAGTAATAATAATATTTTTTTTTTCTTCTTTTATATTGAGTTTTGGAAGTTTGAGCATCATATAGAAATTGATTGATTAATTTTTTAAAATCAAATCGAAAGAGATACATAGTAGCTCTTGTTAAAACTAGTGTTGTTAAACGGCTAACTCAATACTTCACCCAGAAAAATATCACCCAAAACCTGAAGATTTTACTCATAGAAGAAGGAACAAAGGTCTAGACTTATATTATCGAAATCTTGAAACTTAGGCAATATTTTTCTGACTAAAATATTGAGTTAGCCATTTTTAAAAATCGGCTCATAACAAGCCGTTTAACAACACTAGTTAAAACCAATGGTTTTATAATATATTTTAATTGTAGTATAAGTATGGTATATCATAGTTTAATTTAATTTAATATAAAAATTTATCAAAAAACAAAAGTTCTAAAAAAATATATTAATTATCACAATTTTTCTTCGTAAGGGAAAAAAAGTTATTCCTATTTTAATTTAAAAGAATAAAACAAATATTACATAAATATTTCGTTAATTTTTATTTGCAATGCGAAAATTGTAAAATGCATTTGCACAGCGGACTTCAACCCCACCTAGCCGCCCTCTCAAAAATTATACCCACTTACCACCCTCTAAAATGTTAACCCCTCTTCCCACCCTCTAACATTTTACTCTCTGTCCCCTCTAAATTTTACTTTCCCTACCCCCTTTCCAAAATCAAAACTAGCAACGAAAAAAAGAAGGACTAAAATTGAAATTACTCCATGCATCCTTCCAATTTAATTCAAATAACTTAGCGTCTTCTTAACTACCTCACCTCTTCAATTTCATTGAAAATCTTGCCATAACACCCGCCCCCCTTATCTCCCATATGTCCCTGGCAATGCTTGTTTGAATTATTAAAAAACAATTTGTTATATCCAGAACATATTTTATTCCTATAGCCACACTCACAGAAGGCCATTTTTTGCCAATAGCATACAAGTTTTTTTAAAAAAAATATATATGGATTAAAATTGGAAATTTTACATAACGAAGCCAGGAATTTCTGTAACATTAGTCAAAGAATCCAAATGGAAATTTTTCGATAATGGTTCCTTTTTGGGAGCACATTTATTAAATTTTATAATTAATTACATACTTTTAAATTTAGTTTTTTTTAATGATTATTTAAAAGCAAGAATTAGTCAGAACTCATGTATAACCAGTATGTATATTAAAAGTTAGCCAATGTATAAAATAAAAGTAAATATTTATAAAACGAAATATTTAATTACTTTTTTTTTATTTTTTCCTATTTTTTAATCATATTTCAAATATAAAAACGCATATTAATTGATTTCTTATAAAATGTAGATTTCGATTAAAAGGTCATATACAAAATATTATTATTTAAATTTTTTTTTTACTGGGTTTTTCTTTCTTTCTTTCTTTCTAATTTATATATTTTTTTCTTTTCTAATTTATAATCTTTTCTTTATTCCCGCAGATTATTCTAATAATAACTACAACCACGATACGAATAAAATGATGCGAAACTATTCCAATGGGTAAAATTAAACTAAATTATAATTTGTTTTAATCCATAGCCAGGCCCGGAGATTTTCAAAAAAAAATTTAAAAAAATTTCGGCCCCGGCCCGAATTTTTATTTTTTATAGAATGATACTCGACCCGGCCCGTATACCCGGGCCGGGTATGCAGTTTAAAAAAAAGCTGTTAAACAGCTCGATTTGAGCCGATTTTTGGAAAAATATTGCCTTATTACCTTCGGAGATTTTGCTGAACAGATGCTCGCTCCATACGTTTCTATCAATGAGCAAAATCTTCCTTGGGTAATTATTTTCTGGATAAAATAATTGAGACCCGTTTTTTAAAAACATTTTAACAACGTATTTAATATAAAATTTTCCAAATTTTGACAATCTTTTTTTTTGTTTTCTTGAAATTTTTTAACAATCGCCTTCTTATAATATATTTTAAAACCCATTTTACTCTTGTACCTTAAAAATAGAGTTATTATAGGAAGGAAGGAAGGAAGGAAGGAAGGAAGGAAGGAAGGAAGGAAGGAAGGAAGGAAGAAGGAAGGAAGGAAGGAAGGAAGGAAGGAAGGAAGGAAGGAAGGAAGGAAGGAAGGAAGGAAGGAAGGAAGGAAGGAAGGAAGGAAGGAAGAAGGAAGGAAGGAAGGAAGGAAGGAAGGAAGGAAGGAGTATAGGCATAGCCAAGCCAGGATTCAGGCCCTTAGCCGGAATTATCTCTTTTTTTTGCTACTTTTTAAAAACATTATTATATTTATTTATTAATTATGAGGGGAAGATGGGGGGGGGCTGAATTTTTTATTGGCTTATAAATCGCTCGGGGAGTGGGGTGGGGCATTTTCCTATCTATCCTTTTGGGTATAACCTATTAGGTATTTATATCTTAAAAAGTGGAAAAAAATTTTAGAATTAGGAACCCAAATTTTGCGCCCAAGAAAAAATAAAAATGCATATTTAAAATGTCTATTCCCCCCCCCCCCTCTTCCCTTACGTGACGACTATTTTTATAATTTATGACGAAGAGAAGATTATAAAAAAGAAATCTTAATCTTTGTGTCAATTCACCATTTTTTTTTCTTTCTTTTGTTTTTACTTTTATTTTTAAAAAATAAAAAAAATTAAGTGAATTTGCAAATTCTTAATCATATTTTTCATAAGGGTGGGGAATAGGGAATACACGACTTATTTTTTTTTAAAAAATATGAACAATTTATTTGTTATCTCTTTCAATTGTCGGAATTATATATATATTTTTTAAAAAAGTAACACAAAATCAATAAAATATTATTTCTTTCTTTTATCAATTTTACTAGTTAAAAATGAATTTCCAAGAAAAAAATAATATTTTGGAGATTATTTCAGTGGTAGGGAAATGTGGGGGGGGGAGGTTCGCTGAACACCGTTTAACTCATTTATATGATATTATATAACCCAAATCATGTTTATATTTGTCCTTATCCCTTCAAAGCACAGGCTAAAAAAAATAACATGAATGTCTAGGTGGGGTTCTCTCGGAACTCTCAGCTACATTTTGAATTAAATTTATTTGTTTTGAAGTTCCTATTGACATATGTCTAAGGGAAGAGATAATGATTGGTAAAAAAAAATATAATTTTTGTCAGAATTTACACTTTTTGGAGATGAAGAGATGCATGTGAAGTCCCAAATTAAGGATTTACCTAAAGACCAAGGCACAGAAGTTAAACCATCTGGCCTTAGGCCATCATCTAATGATAAATTAGCAGGCTCCAAGATGTCTGGTATTCGGGCCCTCGTAAGAGATTTGCTAATAACTGAATGAATCGCTGAATGTCTTGCATATCTGCCTTGACTATATATACAATTTAAACTATGTCTTCCCTCTGGAATCAACTAATAATTTACATTTTGTGCATGTATTTGTTCGAACTATGTTACATCCAATCGATGTCCCATGGCAACTCTTAATTGTTCATCTGCTAAGAGGTTACCTAGGTTACGACTTGGTAATGCTTCCAACCATTCATAACCACTCACTCATTTGGCATTTTGTAATAGTTGAATATTTTAATAGAAACAAGTGGTCGAGTCCGATCTACTATATAGATGTATTATAATAGATCGGACTCGAAAAAATGTTCTTTACGGATTTGAACAAAGAACTTCGGATTGAGATACACGCAACTTATCCGGCTAGGCCAGAGAAGCTCTTCAAAAAAATCACTATTTTCTAAATATAAATATTTTAAAATTCTCGATCCTATCAAAATTTGGTCCGTTCAAATATCACACCACGTTATATTTAACCATTAACCCTTAACATCTTTATTACATGAACAAGTTCTCGAATTTGCTATATCGAAAAATGCAACTTGACTATATCTACAAATCGTTAATAATTTGAATTTGGTCAAAATACAAGTTTTTGTTATGAACAAGTAGATTAAGGTTGGAAGTTTGATTTGAAAGATAATTCTGCCGCGTCTAAATATATAGAGAAAAGCTCATACCCATACCTTACTTCTAACCATTTTTTTATTTTTACTTTTCTCTTAAATCAAGAATAATGTAAGAAGAACTCGCTAAACTCTATTTAATGATTTTATTCAAAATATCCATAATCCAATAATTTCAAGAATTTTACAATATAATTTAATAATGATCGAAGAATTTACTAGAGATCTGAAGTAGGTCCGGCCCGTACCCGAACGTACTTCGGGCCGGGTTTTACCCTATTTTTTAAAAAATTCGGGCCGGGTCAGCGAGCCTTGGAAATTTTTTAAAATATATCTAAATTTATCAATTTTACATGAATAATTTAATGTGAAGTTAAAATTTTTGATTTTATATAAAGAAACTAGACGTCATATGACATATGTCTTTTATTTTGAATAATTCGGTAAATTATTTTTTTTAAAAAAATTTCGTGTTCGGGCCGGCAAACCTTTTTAAAAAAATTTCGGGTTCGGGCCGGGCCAGCAAAACTTTTGTAAAAAATATTTCGGACCGGGCCGGGTTTGAAAAATTAGGACCGATACAGATCGCTAAAATTTACATCATCGAAAAAATTAAATATTTTCTCATATCATAATAATCATATTATTTATTATTATTATTATTTAATTCCAACCAATCAACTTTATGGTTCCTTGGCATCAGTATATATTTTTAAAAACATAGAATTTCAACCCTTCTTAAAAAAAATATTAAAATGTTTTTTTTTCTTCTTTTTCTGAAATCAAATGATATTTATCATTTTATAAAATATTTATTTGTTTATATTTAATATGCCATTTCAACGCTAGGGGCCCTATAGTGTTGGCAAGCAACAAAGCTACGCTAAACCTTAAATCCATCATACCGGGTATTTAATTTAGGGGGGGGGGAAATAAAGAAGAACCCCTTTTTGGTGGTTTTCACTTATTTTTCTTATAAAAATGCTACATTAACTCTCTTTTGGGGTTTTCACTTATTTTTCTTATAAAAAATGCTACATTTGGAATTATAGTCGTTATTTTAAAGTTATTAACTTTTACTAATTTTTTTTCTTTCTTATTCTTCTTTGTAGTAAATATGATTATATTGTATGTATAAATATTTTGGATCCACCCTGGGGTTACTCGCCTGCAAATCCTATATATATGTCAATCTAGGGACTTAATATTGGAATGCATTTCCGGAAAAATAGGATCTTTAAATTTAAATAAAATTAGCCTAATTAATGATTTAAAATTTCAAAACCTATTGCGCATGTCGATAAAACCCAAACTATCGCCTTACCCAAAATTTTGTATAAACCAGGCTAGAATCTTCTTTTATAAAAATTTATGAAACTCAAGCCAGTATCATTTTTATTTAGTGACAAGTTTCAAACTTTGAAATAGGTACAATAAATACTTAAACCTTTCTAGCTAAATTGAATGCATTTCTGGCAAAGTCAGATCTTTAAATTTAAATAAAACGCGCCCAATGTTTTGTTGAGTTCGCGGGCAAAACTATCCTAAATTCACAATATGGGTATATCAATGTTGTACCTATATTACTAGATTAGCGATTCATTAATTGAAAGTGCCCATACACAGGAGTCTGCTAGGGCGCCATTTTATGGTTTGGACCCACTAATTATACCTATTTTATCATTATATGAATGCACATTAATGTCATTTAAACCACGTAATGTACAGCTGACCTCTTTGTATAGACATTTATAGACCCATTTAATGTTTAATCGTCAATCTAGTAATTATGCACATCATTAGGGTTGTATAAGCACTATGCGTGGTAGAATATATTTTCAATCAAATCAAATTTTAGTTTTAAAATTTAAAAATTTCCTTATTGGTAATGATTTAAAAATGTAAAATAAATATTTTACAAGACGCGGAAACAACCGGAAGCAAATGATCATAGGAAGCATACCTAATAAACTGGAGACTATGGACGTCGTAACGCGTCCAGATTCGTCCGTTGCCCATTACCTTAGCCAAGAGGAAGGACAGGGGGTTGTAAAAGCAACGCGGGAAACGATAACGTTCACCAACGAGGAAGACAAAAGTCCCCAGTATTCCTTAATGAAGGCTACTATTAAAGGAGGGAGCGATCTCGCGGACTCTCAAAGTATAAATATTATTCTCACCTTTATCCTATGTTTTTTTACCAGTAGATATTTTGAGGTCGGCACAGCCGGTCCGAAAGCGGGACACGTAGGCCCGGGGCTCGATAAATTTAAAAAATATATATTTTACGGGCTAAGGTTAGTCTGGAAAACCCGATAAAAAATTAGCGGTCGGTTCGGCACCCCATCTCTGGCCCTATCTAACTAATCGCACATTTAATCCAATAACATTGATAAAAAAACAAATGAAATCTTTGTAACATTATTAATTACTCAGAGACCTGCAAGAGGTACCATTCGCAAATTCCGACCCGGGTTTTATATTTTCAAACCCGACCCGTTTTAGGACCGGCCCGGGTATTTTCTTATTAAAAAGATATTTATATCTCACTTCACTCTGCCATTTATTTTATTCATAATTAGATTATTATATAATTTAAAAAAATAATAATAATTAACAAGTTGAGCAAATATAAATCAAAAAATTATTAAAATTATCTTTAAAAGAAACAAATTTTTTTTTTGGCCCTCCACTTCACATTCCTATCTAATTTCCTTATAAATATTTCGAAAAACTAATAAAAAAATATCATATATTTAGGATCTATTCCAAAAAGAAATTAATAATTTTAAATAATAACTATTTTTTAATATTTATTTTTATTAAAAAATTAAATAAGAAGTTTGTTTTTATTATTTAAATTTCCATAAATATTTCTCTTCTTTAAAATCTCGATATCGAAATCAAAGGTAATATAGAAAAGAAAAAATTTTTCACCTGATTTTTCGTTTTCTAAAAATATAAAAGTTTCTTCTTTAAAAATAAATTAAATATATACCTTTATTAATTAAATATACATCTCTTTTTTTTATTTTAAATAACAGCCCGACCTTCAAAAATATATTTTTTTTATTTTTATTATTTATATTTTTTAAAAAATTTTTTCAAAAAAAAATTGAATAAATTTTTATTTTTTGTAATATCATCATCATATTCATATCATCTCTTAAATAAATTTATTTTAATTTGCGACAATAATATATATATATTTGCGACAATTATAATTGATTCCAAAAATAAAAAAAAGGATATATTTTTTGTGGGATTTATTTTATACATCTCACTTGTTATAAAAATTAATTATTTAAATTCGATACGAATAAACGATATGACATTCTACTCACGGCAAGTATTCAATATTTTTAAAGTGGATAAAGAGGGGATTTCATTTATTTCTTTTATATATATATTAGTGTTGTTAAGCTGCTCATTTTTGAACCGATTTTTAAAAACGGCTAACTCGTTATTTTATTAGGAAAAATATGATGCAATCTTGAAGATTTTTTTCATAGGTGGCACAAAGGTTTGAACATGTATTGACGAAATCTCTAGGCTTTGACAATATTTTTCTGTCTAAAATATTGAGTTAGCTGTTTATAAATCGGCTTAAATCTAGCCGTTTTAACAACAGTAGGGAAAATTAATTTTTTTTAAATATAACAATTTTTTATGATTTTAAAATAAAAATTATATACAGAACCAAAATTCTACACGGCCACTATCACATATTATCATCATCAAACAGAAAATCTTCCAGATAACCAGCAGAAGCTAACCTCATCTTCACCCAATTCTCAATATTCCAATAATATAGTAAATAGTTGTTTTTTTTGTATTCCTCTACCACTTTTTTAAAAAAATCTTAAATAGTTTTTTTTTTATATCTTCAATCCATTTCTGTTCTAATTTATTTCATTCATTCATTCTTTCTTTCTTTTTTTTTAGTAAGGATTCTAATTTTAATCTTACCTTGATTCTCATCATCATAAACAAAACAACCTTCATACAAAATCACGCTTTAAAATTTAATTACCGTTTTTTTTAAAAAAATAATAAAGTTTATTATAAATTATATATAAATATTTCATTTTGTTGAATTTTGATTTAATTCAATTTATAAATTCATTAAAACAGTTAATAAAGTATTTTGCCATTTCTTTTTAAGGGATCAATCACTCCCCTGCCTCTATTTCCTTTAAATTTTTTTTTTTCAATCTTTTAATTTTTATTTATTTGCTAAAATTAAGCCAGCTATCGAAGGACAACAAGTTCGTACAGGTTTTATGAGGTAAATTTATATAAAACAAAAGCATAATTTTAAATTATGTTGTAAAAACATTGATCTAAAACCCTTGTCCAAAAACTTTTTTTAACGCTTTATTTTTTTTATAAAAAAATCGCTTTCAAATGTTTCACTTTTTATATTTTAACATTGAAAAGCCTTTTAAGTAAACGTTTTTCTAAATTTATTGACAAACCTTTAAGAGAAACTGATGATTTAATGAAACAAAATAGGAGTAAAAGAATTTTTAATAATGATTTGTCTATATTTTAATTATTTTTGCAAACAATTGATGGGGTTTTAATTTAATCGTCAATGTGTTTCATTAAATCATCAACAAGTATCTTTTCTATTATTAGCATATTTGTCAACTTAGCATTATTGAACTCCGAAATAACTTACACTTTTAATTTTAGTGCTTTTTAAAGATGAATAAATATAATTGACTTTAACTTATATTTATAGCATTATTTATATTCATTATTAAGTGTGAAATGTGATATTGAAATAATAATAATAATAATTTTATAATAAAAAATCGCGAAATTTTATTTTTTTTATTATCAATAATAAAAATTATTTTATGCCATAAAAACTTTTACACCTTTTCAATGATTTATTTAACCGCTCTGTTAAGGTCGCTTACATAGTTCTGTTATAACAAAAAAAATCTAGAAGTTTTAAAATTTAAAATTGGGAAAAGCTTAAAATGATAAATTTTTTTGAAAATTTTGACAAATATGTTTTTGGCCATATTTTAATTTTTTCTATTTTAAATTTAAAAAGAAAGAAAAATAAACTTTGTTTCATTTGGGTTTTTCGATAAAATTTTTTGAAAGTTTTTTTGAATTAAATAAATTTATAATATGAAAGAATTTAAATAACATAAATAATAATTTTTTTCCCATTTTTTTTTACAAAGAGGATTTAGAATTTTTGTGGAAATTTGATCAAAAATTTTGCTTGAATCTTTATTGTGAAATTGTTTTTTTCTTCTTCTCATTTTCAAATTTTTGAATTTTCCGGGGAGAAAGGGGGTTATAACTAATTTAATATAAAATTTTGGTATAATTTGTTAATCATCCTTTTAAAAGAGAAAATTAGATTTGTTTTTATTTAATTTAATTTATTGCTAACTACTTAGACAAAATAGGAATTATGATTATTATTCCCAGGGAAATTAACTAAGACCAATTCCTTATTTGTCTTAAAGTATCTTTCTTTAATTTAAATGTCGAGTTTACTTCTAGGAAGCAAATTATGAATGAAATCTGTGCATTGATCATGCTGGAATTTTTATCTACTTGATTTAGTCGTTTATATCAAAAAATCTTTAAGATCGGGATGTAATAAATAGGATTGGCCCTTCTTTTGACCAAATAGTGAGGCTTATGTATTTTTTTTGACTAATGATTATTTATATATGAAAAATATAGTCAACAGCAAGATCCATTTCCGGTAGATTCCTCTAGGAAAGGAATACGAGTCATCTCACCCGAAACAATAGACTCGTCGGCTTATTACAACGCGCCGGTCGATGCTAAGGTAGGTGTCGGGGGTCAATTGAATCCATTGGGGAAAGATGAAACACATTTCTACGGATCCTCCGTTGATAGTGGATGTGAGAGACTTATTATATAATAATTTATATTAAACAGAATCCTTTTTTTTGAAAATCACGAAATTATTACAAATATGTAATCATTGGCATAACCAATAACACCCCAGGTTAAATATGCAATTTCTTAAGTATCATTTTAAACAAATAAAATTGAATACCCATATATTCACCTCTAGCCCATTAAAGCATACCTAAAGTCCTCAAATAAACATCATTCTAAAAAGCATACCTAAAGTCCTCAAATAAACTTATGGCTCCATGAAAATCCCGGATATTCTTATATAGGTAGGACTAGAGATTTTATAGTAATTTTCTCTTATATAGCAAAAAAAAGGAAATTCAAATTAAAACCAACACTTACCCACCTTCTTCTCCAGTTTTATTAGAATGACGATATGGACTTTCATAATTTTTTCCGCCTCTCTCCTCCCTCCTCCCTCCATCCTTTAAATATCAATAACGATCTTGTGTTATACCCCACACCCCCAATCCGAGGATAAAGAAGTAATAGAACATATATAAAATAATAACACGAAGCACTGGGATTTGGAAATAAGAAATTGCCGGAATGATCATATCCTTTATCTTAAATCTTATTGGTAGGGGAATGGGGAATTCTTCGTTCAACCAACGAATTTCTTAAGACATGAACATTTTTTTGAAGTATTAAAAAATTATTAAAAGTTTATAAATTGGTTTTTATTAGAGCAAAATCAAATTGAGATTTTTTTATTATTATAAGCTTAATTCATTTATAATACTTTTATCTTTATCTTAAAAGAAACGATATAAACCTTATATTATATATATAAATTCTTCGATTATTGATTTTATTAAGTAGGCGTCACTTGAGAGTATATTCTCTTTCGCTCGAATATTAGTTTATTTTTCGAATTTTACCAAGACAATTTATTTATTTAATAATATTGTTAGGTAGCTAATAAAAAAATATAGAGAATAGTGGGGGTGGGGGGGGGGGTATTTCAGTTCAATTTAGTCACCTGCTAAATAAAAAAGTTACCAAGCATTGAGACTCGAGTCAATTTATTTACGCTTCCTTTAAAGGCGGGTTATATTTTCACAAAAAAAATCGGCTACTAATCCTGCGCTCACATTTAGAGTACAAAATATGATTTTATATTCATATTTTTTGTATACTTTGCCGCGAATTCGCACTAACTGTGAATGCAGTAGGGTAAGATGATAAGTTAATTGTTGAAGTTACGTTTAGCCGATTTTTAATTGGGTGACCTTATTATACGATTTTTTAAGATAATTAGTTTTGATCCAATCAATGACATATGATAATACCTAGACTGACAATGCATTCACTATAAGTGTACATCAATTAAAACAGCTAAGGACGCCATTTTGATTACCCATATCATTATTAAAAATTTTAAACGAGAGGCCAATTTATTCCTATATCTGACGCAAACTTTAATAAAGAATTGCCTGATCATCGAAATAATTTGGACAATTATTGTAGTATTTAACATGAGAATAATTACTATATTGGTTACCAGAATAGCGGGTCCACGACGCTTTCAAATGCATGATTATGAATGCATCGTCAGTCTAGTTTACCTATTCTTTTTCTCCAAACAGATGTCAGCCATGAACTTATTTGCAAAGTAAGAAATCGATGATATTCACCTTATCCAAAAAAAACATAATATTGCAATATTTTAGTAATAATTTTTTAGTCTTAAAGAAATGAAGAAATATTTTACTATTTTTTAAGAAATAATATTTTTACACTATTTTTTAGACGGAAGATGGGGCAATTTGAGCCCACCCTTATCTCCCGGGACGGCTTTCGATGACGCCCAACATCATTACTATTCGGACGGTAAACGTATTATACACGACCAAAGGGGACCCCTAACCGGTCAAATCGTACAAGATTCACGCCAATTTTCGCGGGATCCGCGTCAATTCTCCCAAGATTCGCGGGATCCGAGACAATTCAACCAAGATTCGCGCCAATTTTCACAAGAAACCCGCCAATATAATCCAGTTCCCGTCGTAGGGTCTCAAGTTGGATCTGGCCCGAGGGACTATTCTCCTTCGCAACAAGGTTAATAATATTATTAACCAAGCCAATAATTATATATAAAAAAATTTAATTAAAGGATACGAAACTCGCGGTGGTCGAGTAAGCGGACAGCCATCTAATGTAAGATTGGACCCACGCGATTCTGTGCATTTGATAGTGGACAACAACTTAGATACTTGTAAAAATTTAATTTTTCTATATATAGCTTCTTTTTTTTTAAATTTAAAAATTTATCATTATAAAGAAAAAGAAAGGAGCATATGGAGGGGAGACCGGGGCTAATTGAACCGTTGGGATTGGCATTGTTCTATTTCTAAATTTATGACTCTAATAAATTATATCATAATATAGATTTTAATAATGAGCATCTTATACATAAATTTTTTGAAATATTTCAGGGAACCCATTTTTCTTTTATAATTTGAGATGATTTTACGAACATTTATGGTGTTTAGATGATTTTAATAATTGTTTAGCAAAGCTAATGCTAGTGGAGACTAATGACATATAGTAATGCCTAGACTGACGATGCATTCATTAAAAGTATTAATCAATGAAAACACCTGCGGACGCCATTTTGATTATCTATATCATTATTAAAAATTTTGAACGAGAGGCCAATTTATTCCTTTGTCTGTCGCAAACTTTATTTAAGAATTGCTTGATCATTGAGATAATATGGAAGCAAGTTTTCAATTTAAAAGTAGTTTTTTAACATAAAATAATTACTATATGGGTTACCAAAATGGCGGGTCCAGCTGATTTGTATTCAACGACGCTTTCAAATGTATTATTACGAATGCATCGTCAGTCTAGGTATTATTATTATATGTCATTGTGTGGGACTTACGATACTAGGATTTTTCCAATAACTAATATATACCATTCTAATATATACATTATATCTTTGATTATTTTTTGCAATATTTTATTCCAAATTTCGTGAGATATTATTTTTTTTTAAAAAAAGGCAAAGAACCAAGTATTTTATATGTTCTAAATGTAGTTAACATTTTTTTTTCAAAATTTAGAAAAACCCTCTAAGTATTATTAAATTGTGGTAAATATTGGTTCTAATATAGTAATATAATCGTAAGCATCTCTCCATGTATTTTATTTCCCTAAATATAGAATGTTAAAGAAGTTACAGACGATTTTTTTTTTAAAATAAAAGATGGTATACCTTGTCTTGATTTTCCAGGGCTATTCGTATTTATAGAAAATTTTTTTTGTTAATATTTAAAAATAATGTGTAATTATTAGATGATAAAATTACTTTATGAATTATTTTTGCAAGTTTTTGACACATGTTTCATATACTTGTCACTTTTTTTTCCGTAAAACATAATATTCTCATTAGTTTTCCATTTTTTATAAACGGCCCGATTTTAGCCAAAGTAAACATTATGTATGTAGTTGGAGATGTTTCTCCTTTATGGCAGAAAGGTTAGGACCTCTATCAAATCTCGAAGCTTTTGCAATAATATTTTGGCTTAAATCTTAATCGGGCCGTGTAAAAACACTATTACGCATAAATATGCTGACCATCTGACTAAAATGAAAGCAATTCAACTACTAATTGATTAAATTTATATTTTCCCTTAGTAAAGACATTTCAAATTTGTAATTAATTTTTGAAGTATAATATATATATATCATTTCAAACTCAAAGCAAATACTCACAAATTGATTCTTTGCAAATTTAGAATTTTCATTTTGAACATCATAAATCCAATTTAATATATTATAAAATAAGAGAATTTAAAGATTTTTTTATCGTCTGCTTTTTTAAAATGGAAGAAAACAACTTATTATTTTTAAACATGGGTGTTTTACCTTTCGGTCAAATAAATATATTGTTAATCAATTATGATGCGATTTGGAAAATAATAATTGCGAGAATTTTCCTTAATCTTTGTCATTCTAAATATTCCATTTTTGAAGATAAGTTTTTATATTTGGTTATACTATATATAAATCAAACCTAGGAAGAGAGTTTTTTTAGTACCCCCCCCCCCCACATTATTCTCATCTGGTAACAATGTTTTGTCGTCCCGATTATGTCAGGAGGGGCATCACATTATTCACGTGCGTTCTCCTCAGGATGGATCATAAACCATCAACGTGTTAAATGAATGAAATAAATAATAAAATAATATTTTAAAATGTTTTCAGCGCTAAACATTGTTCCGGGCACTCCTCTAAGAACGTCAACCCCGATAATAGGCTACGATTCTAGATCCAATATACCGACTGGCGGAAGAGGCTACGAAAGAGGTATTAAAAGAAATTTTAATAATGAAATTTAACAATTCAATCAACCAAATTGCCATTTTCAGCTTGTTGTCGTTAAACGTAATGATTTAGCCGATTTGTAAATTAAGAATTTTAGCCTAAATAATATTTTCGTCAGCCTCGAGTAGATCTCCAAACTTCACTGCCGTTTATGAGCAAAATATCGGGGCTTGCGTAATATTTTTTTAACGAAATCTTGGGTTAGTCGTTTTTTAACAACATTAATTTTCGCAGTGTGTAAAATTAATTAATTCATTCATATATCTTATAAACCTACAATTATCTAATTGAACCCCCACTTCATACATATAATTATCCATTTTTCTAGTGTGCACGCTTATTTGCATTACACATTGTCTCTTGATTACGACCCAATTAAACCCGACCCAATTAAACCCGACCCAATTAACCCCAGGCATATTTTTATCAAATATCAATTATCTTTATTTATATTCCCTTTTCCTTCCTTATTTGTTTTTTTGTGGAAAAATATGTAATATAATAAATTTCTTTTACCCAATATCATTTTTTTAAAAAAAAAATTATAATTATATATTGATTGATTTATTGATTTTGATTTGTGAAATAAAAATGAAAAAAAAAATTAACACCCCCTCCCCCCTTCTTTCCGTTTATTGCCGCTCTTAATTTATATTATCTTTTATGTGCTGGTTGCGTTATCAGAGAAGTACCATTTGCAGGGCCCGGCCCGGATTTTTAAAAAAATTTCCGCCCGGCCCGGATTTTATTTTTTTAGACCGGGCCCGACCCGGAGGCTCGGCCCGGATTTTTATAAAATATTTTTAATTTATTTTTAATTTTATATGGTTAATAATGTCGATTTAAAATTCGGTTTTAAGAATATGCGGCCCGGCCCGTCTCTGATATGTATAGCCCGTGAAATTGCTAAATTTAAACAAAAAAAAACACTTTATATATATACACCTTTTTTAAAAACGGCTAACTCATTATTTAATTTAGGAAAAAATGATTATGCTATAGCCTTAAGATTTTGCTCATAGGTGGCACAAAGGTTTGAACATCTATTAACGAAATCTCTAGGATTAGACAAATTTTTCTGGCTAAAATATTGAGTTAGCCTTTTTTTAAAAAAATCGGCACAAATCCCGTTTAGCAACACCAATCAATATCTGCAACCAGATCGATGAAGTCGCATATAAAAAAAATCGTTTTTAAGATATAATATAACCTTCCTATTTCCCATATATATATATATATATGTGTGTGTTTTTTTTTGTAAACTCGTGCTGATTGAAATACCATTGTTTATACAGATCTAATTCAAAACATTTCCATAATTTTTAGATTCGTTTGTAAATAGAATTATTTTAAACTTGTAAAAAAAAATTGATAAGAAATATATATATGAATATTGTGTTATTTTTTTTTTTTAAACTATTCATTTGCAAGTCAAATAATTTAAATTAAATGTGCACAACACTATAGAAAGATCCTTACTTTAAACAGATTTTAAATCACTTCGCGCATAATATATAATATATATGTCAACGTAATGTGCTATTTTTACAACTTTTAAATCATTTTTTGAGGGCGTTTTTTTAAAAAAAATTTTGAAAATCTGATTTTACCGGAAATATATTCCGGCATGTTTAGAATACCTATCCTATGAATTGTAGATAATCTTACAGATTTTGAGAGATTCTATAATTTATTTTTAAAAAAAATCAATGAAAAATCTAATATAAATTAAATTAAGTTCAAAAGTTCATGACAAAATTACATGAAATACATAGGTTAGGTATATTAAAGATGAAGGAATCCATTTCCGTTAAAGTCAAATTTTTAAATTCAATAAAAACGCGCTCAAAAAATGATTTAAAGTTGAAAAAAATAACACATTGACGCTAACATATATATATACATCATTTTTTAGTCACATAAATTTTTTTTAAACACTTATTAGTTGGCTAAACGACATAAGTTTTTTTAAAAAGGTACTATCTGGTTCATCTGGCCCTGTTAAATCCTTTTATTTAAAATTTATAACCTATATATTTTTTTTTTAATTTATGATAAAGCACATCCCGAGAGACCTCCGCCGCCTCAACAATACCTATTAGACTCTGGTACATAATAATCAATTGACATTATAACACTACACCTAGAGTGATTATAAACGTATCGATACAAATCAGCTGGTGATACGCCATTTTTTTTTCCCTCGAGATAATTATAAAAAAATTATTATATCGGAAACCAAAATGTAGCATCACCATCTCATTTGTATTCGACAAAGCTTCAAAAAAATATTTTTGATGAATGAATCTCGTCGGTCTAGGTAAGTATTATGACGTCATCGATACAAATATAATAGTTAAATAATCGATTTAAAACCAAATCATATATAAATATAACCTAATTTCCTTCAGGAAAATAGACGGTTAACTTAAACTATAAAAAAAAGGGAGATCTAAATCAAACCTTAAAAACCATAGGAATGAATGTGTTACCACTCATATGATTTCTTAATATAAAAAAAAACATTTTACTAATCTCCAATGGTTAAAATATTATCCGACCAGAAATCGAACCTGATCTGCAAGTCTACGCTTTAATACAAAACTTAGAAATTCTGTTGATGATTAAGTTAATATGATTTAAGCAGGGTTGCGAACCCGGCAAAATTTTTGCCCGGGTGCGGTTCGGGTTCGGTTCAGGGAAATATTTTTGAACTCGGGTTTGGTTTCGGGTTTATTTAGGGTTTAAGATTTTTTGAATTGATAAATTCTATATTTAAATCTTAATTAAAAAACTAGACATAAATTTGGTATAAAAAATAAATTTTTTATTTTATTTATAGGCAAAATATAGTTAAAAATATAAAGCATAGTCATGTATAGATTTAAAAAATTTGATTTAGACGTATTTCTTTAAATTAACAATATCCTATATAATAATTTTTACATTGACTTGTTCACTTTCATTTTCCTCTAATTAATAATCTTTGAGAATAAGTTAAAAATTAAAAATAAATGGCGTAAATGAATTAAATTGTTTAAAATTTATTAACAATCTAATAGGAATCTTTGAGATTAATTTATAAAAAATTTTAAATGGAGTAAATGAATTAAGTAGTTTAAAATTTATTAATACTTCACTTAATTAAAAATTTGAAAATATTATAAAATATCAAGTAAATTATTAATATTTGTATTTACAATTATACAAATATCTTATATTAATTTAAACGATACATTGAACCCGGTTGAACCCGGGTTCAAATAAAATACCCGGGTTCGGTTCGGGTTTTTAAAATAATTTTATAAACGAGGTTCAGGTTCGGTTGGGGTTCATATTTTTTTTCAAAAACCCGGATTTTCTTCTCCGGGTTTGGGTTCGGTTCATACCTCTGAATATAAGATGGGGTAAAAGTGTTATTTTTTATTCTCTAATCGGGTATACTTGAATGAAAAAAAAATCAATAACAGGGCTCTACAATTGACATTTTATATATGAAAAAAATCATAATAATAGATTTAGATCGGAAAAATTATCAGGAAAGTTCGTGGAGGGCAAACGCTCCCGCAGGAGCTGTTACCGCTTTGGGAGCTGGGATTCCGGCAGCGATAGGTTTTAGAATATCAATTTTTTAAAATCGGGTTTTTTCTTCTTTCCTTTCTTCTATAAAGCCATTTCCGGGCAGAACCTTTTTTTTTAAAGCGGTTTTGTGGGCATTTCCGGTAAATTATTTATTGCCAAACAAAGGATAGATAATATTTAATTATATTAATTTTTTTTTTCCATAATATGAATTTGTCACTTATTTAATCGTTAATAAAAAAAAATAAAATCCGTTTTTTTTAGTGACGATTAAATTGGAAGACATTGCGCGAAGCGATTTTTTAAAACAATATTTATGCGAAAATAATTAAATTCGACTAATTATTATCTTTTGATCTTATATCATTCATTCCCCTATGTTTTATAAATAAATATTTTTACCACTATTATAATAAATCAATCAATCAATCGCACAAAATATTTAGGATTGAATAGATTACGAGATAGCAATCGAAATGATTATTCTGGTCAACCCCGCGATTTCAGCCAAGAGAGGGGAACAACATATGATGTTAGACCTGGCTATGCTTTAACCGGTAATATACTAATTATTTTTTCAAGAGTTTTATTTCTCTAGTCTTATAAATACTAGTTACCCCATATCTACCTTAATTTCTCATTCAATTTTTTTAAAGAGTTAAAGATAAGGAACTCCCTTCAACTCCCCTAATCAAATTTCGTGAGAAGCTCTATAGATAAAATAAATTATTATGATATATTCACACTATGTATAACCCCTCCCCTCCCCCCCCCCTTCTTCCCCATTATTTTGGGATTAAATAAATGATCATTTTAGGAATTTAAAAATTAGATGGGAGAAAATATTGTTTTGTTATCAGCGATCGCGCGGCTATCTCAGATCTCTCAATCATTCTCAAATCTAATAACTCATTCATGATTGTTATTTTTTTTTCCTCATAACAAATATGTCTATATTATGATTTTACTCATAACATGCGTGTATACTGCCTTATAAATATTCATTTCTGAATTACACAAATACAATTTATGGCTCTTTTTTCTAATTTATTTAAAAATACTATCGATTTGCTTATGATTATAAAATCAAATTATTTTCGCGATAATAATTTTTGCACGATAAATTATTATTATTTTTTTCAACGATGAAACCATTATCTTTATTTTAAAAATAATTATTGATCACGTTAAATTTTTTGCATGCTTTTTTTTTTCCGCGTTACCGATTTAATTTTCCGCAATCCACTTGCAAGCTTTCAAATTACACAACAAACATATCTTCGATTTTCTAACATTCATTTTCACCAACTGCCATTCAAAATTACATACAAAAAAAGGCTCTTAAAACTTTACTACTACTACTACCAATACCAATAATAATCGAACTAATAATTATCTCTCTAAATAAAAATTAAAAAAATAAAAGGGCCTGATGTCGGATTTAGCGGTACGGTTCCGGATAAAGATGTCCACTTCCAAGACAATGCAGGTATTTTTAAGGAAGGGAGCGGGAAAGCAGCAACGCTCAGGAGAAAATCATCTTTTAAGGACAAGATTCAGGAGTCGGTTAAAGATGTCAAAGACAAAATTAAAAGCATAGTCGGAAAGGACAAAGATCATTATTCCCACAATGCGGGCACAGTAATTGAAGATCCTAACATTAAATACCCACCGCCCCCATTGGGCAGAACGGATTCATACGAGAAATTTAGGGACGAAGAGTTAGCCCATGTCAAGTTTGATAGTAAAGGCCTCCCTTTAACCACTGGTGTAATCAGAGGTAATGCAGACGATAACAGGCTTTTTTCGGAATGGGGCGTCGATAACAAAGTGCAAGCTCCAAACAAACTCTACACTGATGTATCACGTCAGCATGAATCACATGATTACGGAACACATAATGTCCACAAGAAAGAATCTTTAAAGGATAAAATATCCGAATCGGTCGAAGATTTTAAGCATAAGATTACGGCACCTTTCCATCATCACGAAGGACATAATATCGATGAGCCCTTGGCATCACGCTCTAGTTATGCCATTCCAGGGGCAGCATTAGTTGGATCCGTAGTAGGAGGCACTGGGGCTGCAATTGGATCAACCTTTCACCACGGAAGAGATGATTCGAACTTTAATCCTGACCTAACCAACAAAGGAAACTTCCCCATAGACAGAGGTCCGGGAGATGTTTCACTAAGCAGAAATTTGGATAGACCTGGATATACAAGCTCCCTGGATGATAGAAATAGATTTACTAATGATGCAGCTCTAGGAAACGCCGATAACAAACTATATTCTGAATGGGACCGTGGTTATACTAATCAAGAGTTTAGGCCAAATCAAACTCCTTATGATAGAGAAATTAATCAATCTAACTACAAGAATTATGTGCCTGGCGGGGTAGCAACCGGGGCAGCAACCGGGGCAGCTGTTCGACAAGGTGAAACTACTAAAGGCTCAGACCAACATCGAGAGAGCATGAAGGACAAGGTTGCGGATGCCTATCACGATTTTAAGGAAATGATAACTTCCCCCTTTGAAAAGAAAGACAAAGATGGAAAATACGGTGATTTACGGCATCCAGTTCAATCAAACGTTGCCGGAGTCAATAACGATAATAAATTATACTCCGAATGGGATAAGGGTTATCCGGAACAACGGAATGTTTCATACGAAGGACCCGAACAGTCGAATTATCGCCCAGGCTCGGAATATGACGCTCGTCATCCTGATTATGACACACGTGGTTTTGATAATAATCTAAAAGGTCAGCAACCTTATACTAGCAATTTTGACGGGCCAGATTCTCATCATGGTTATAAGATAGCTGGAGCTGGATTAGCAGGTTCAATATTGGGTACTGGACTAGCCGCTGGGTCTAACTATCATTCCGATTCTCCTAGATATAATCCAACCGTTGTAGATACGACACATCCTCATGCATTACGAAGTGAATCGATAACGGATAAAATTGGGGAAGGATTAAAGAGCGCTAAGGACAAAATAATAGCGCCATTTAAAGGCCACCATACTGATAGTAATTATCATCCTCAAGGTGACGATGTCAAAACCATAGATGGACCTGGTTACCCTGATTTAAGGAATAAGGTGAAAGACAGAGACGGATATTATATTGATCCGTATTCCGGCGTTACCCAAGAAGGAGACGCCAGAAGGTATGAAGGTGATTACATACCAAATCAAGATGAAAGGACTCATTCTCACCTAAAACCCGTTACTTTGGGGCACAAACTGATAAGGAAAGATTCTTACGAAAAATTTAGAGAGGAACACGGCAGGGACCATCCTGATTATCATAGAAAACAATCGTTGAAAGACAAAATCAGCGACTCACTAACCGATATGAAACATAAAATCGCTGCTCCATTCAAGGGCGACGATCAAATTGGCAAAGAAACCATTAAGGTCCACGACGATAAGGTGGCAGGAGGCGATATATCAGAAAGATACCCATACACTGCCCCACACCACGATATGCCCAGTGCGGGTATGACTGGGGCTCTTTTAGGTGGTACCGGAGCTGCCATTGGTTCATCTTGGTATGCCAATAGGGATAGAGAAGGGGATATCTCAAGAGCAGCTGATGTCGAAACATCTAAATTACACCAAGCCCGCGAAGCTTCTATAACGGATAAGATAGGGGAAGGTTTGAAGGATGTTAAAGATAAAATAGTTGCCCCGTTCAAGAGTCATCATGATACCGGACATGATATTAGTCACTCGGGGGGATATAAAGATTACCCTCAGTCTCATGATCCTTCCTTTAAAGATAAAATATCTGGAACTTTTAACGACCTCAAGGACAAGGTTTCGACTACATTCGACAAAGATAAAAATATCGACAAAGTTGGAGGAAGCCGCGTTTATCCCGAGGATAATATCACGGATGTTAAAGTCATTAAGCGTTCTCCGTCGCTCAAGGAAAAGTTTAACGAAGCTTTTGACAATATCGAAAATAAGATAACCGCCCCATTCCATCGCGATCATCCTAGTCACACTAATGACCTTAAGCAATTGTCTGGCAATAAAGTGTATCCTGAAGGACGAGGAGAAATTCGTTACGGGGAAAATGGCGAACCGATTTCACAGCACCATAAATCTTTTTTCGAGGATATGAAAGATAAAATTGCCGCTCCATTTTCTCATGACAGTAACGTTGTCCATAATGAATATCATTCTGATAATACCAGGTTAGGAGGGCTAACCGGTCCTGAGTACAGGAATACATCGACTGGCCCAAGCTCAAGGTTGGATAAAGATTATAACTTGGGTGGTGCGGCATTTTATGGTACTCCCATACCTACCCAATCGTTGAGCTCAAATTTTCCATCGCGCCTCGCTGATAACCAAACCTCAGCTCAATCTTTTATAAAAGATGATTATAACTCTTCACGTTATATTACTACCCCTATAGGAATAGCCAGAGACAGATCTCCTTATGGTACTAATGTGGAACCTTTATCCGACCATTACCCGGAAAGGATGGGAACTTCCCCGCAATTTCACCACGATAAATACGATACCTACGGAGATTTTCCATTGATCACTGCCGCTAAAGAAGACTTAACTAGAGTTACCGACGACATGTCCTCTAGGCCTTTCGAATCTAGATATCCTGAAACAGACGCTTCAAGTAGTTATTTGTTTCATAGTGCATACGGGTGTTTTTTTTAATCTTACTTTTATTACCTTATAAACTCTTTGAATTGTGCAATCCTCTCATATAGGTTTTTTACGCATCTTATATCAATATTTACTATTTGATCTAAATTTTGCTAGTTTAATTATAAATATAGACATTTAAATTTCCTATAGTGGTGGGCATACAATTAAGAGGGTTTCATTACTTTTAAATCTCTAGTAATCTAAAATAATGAGTTCTCGGGGCTAGATAAATTTAGTTTGTTATAAAATGATGAAACTTATTTAGGTTTTAGTTAAAGATATTATTTATTTCATTAACGGATTATATTATGAAAAAGGGCGGGATATTGCAATAGGTCCTGGTAACCAGCAAGAAGTCAGGAGTGGAGTAGGCTGGGCAGCTGCACCGTTAGCTGTTCCTATAGGTGCCGCAATTTATTCTGGCGTTAGGAAAGGAGATCGTGACGAAAATAGTAATTAATTATTTCTTTTTTTTTAATGATCTTTGAACCTTTTTAAAAGTATATTATTACAAATATTTCAATAAAAATAGATTTAGAAATATCGAGATTATGCGAACGATAGAAAGTTAAAGTCCGTAGTTTAATATACCTTCACTTATAAGTGGATCAGATAATATAATTTGCTAAAACACAATAAAAAGCTACTTGTGTATAACTTCGAAATTGCGCTAATGTTATTATTTTTTTTTACTCATAAAGGAAGTAAGTTCCAAGACTCCTCGTTCAGGGATTCGTCATATGGCAAAACAATGGATGAGGGCAGAAGAGGAATTGCGGACAAAGGCCCTCACGCGGATTATTATTTAAATCAAGCTGGTAAGGATAAGGACCGTGTAAGTGATATCCGGTATACAACCGGTCCAGGTACGAATAAATCTCTCAACGTTTACGAAACGAATAGACAGGACGATCGAATAGGTTAGAATATGGAAACAAATATTTTGTTTATAATTTTTAAAATTTTTTATCTTGAAAGTGATAATTGTGATTTTATTTGGTAATTTAATCAATTTCACTATTAAAACCATCTAATGTCTCAATTGCACGGACACCCGGGTGAACAGAACCATTATATCAGAATGAATCTTTATTGTTTTCTAAACTATAACCGGCCCTTTATACGAAATCGTTAAAAGGAGCGAACCGAACCTATACAACTATCATTGAACGGGGAGCTAAAACTATTATCCATTGGGATATATGGAATCTCTGTTCCTATTTTTTTTTTTCACCAATAAATTCTTAAATATATTTATATTAATAATTCCCACTGAGGCTATGTCCCAAGTAGTGTTATTCAACGGCTCTATTTTTAAAAAAAGGGTTAACCCAATATTTTAGCCAAATGTAAATAAACCTGGAGATCTGGCATATAAGGTGAAAGGTTTGGACTAACCAAATCTCAAGGTTTGCATAACATGATTTTGGCTAAAATCTCAGTTCATAATCGACCAAATTGAGACGTTTAATAACACTATACTCCCAGGACTTTTCTTCTTTCTTTTATTTAACTTTTACTTTTCGTTAGCTTTAATCTAAAGGACTGACATCAAAAAAAAGATATCAGAGATAACTAAAGAGTAATAGCTAAAAAAAAACTGCTTTTGAGAATAAAACAAATTTTTTATAAAAAAAAACAATTACTAAGATTTTTTAAAACCCGAAACACCCCTCCCTCATTTTTTTTCTAAACACGTAAGTAAACCGGAAGCATTATAGATAGCTGTCTAGATAACTGGCTAAATTTAGCCGTTTCGACTTTATGTTATTTGGAGGTGTTTAGAAGAAGAGTTAAGTTTAGAAGCTATAATTGTTATTAGCGTATGACATATTTTGCAAAATCAATTTGAACCTAAACAATTTGTACGGGGGTTGTAGGATATCCAGATAGTTCCGTCAATAAAAGGTACGACGCCAATAGACAAGTCTCCTCGCAAGATTATGGTGGAAAGGACGACGAGAGAAGGCCAATTACCAATAAATATATTGACGAAGATTATTACAGACTCAATCAAGGCGGAAGCAGGGAACCCGCCCAACCATCATCCGGGTTTAGTGATGGACGACCGACCGGTCAGTCGGTCAATGTTTATAGCGGCCCTGATTCATCTTCCGATAGATTAGCACTGATAGGTATATTTATTTTTTTAATTAACTCGTCCATAACCAATGTATTAAAAGATTTTAGTTGAGAACTGGTAATGATATATCTGTTTCAATCAAACATTTTAAAAACTTGAACACACAAACATAATTCATTTTTTAAAATTCTATGGAGAATCAATCGGCATTGAGAATTTCTTCATCCTAAAAATAAAAAAGATATGCCGTTTCCCAACACAATTCTAATCCATTGGGTGCATGATCAAAATAAAAAATAATTTTTGTTTTTGAATTTAATAAATATTATTTTGTTTTTGGTTTATTTATTTTTTTGCATAATATTTTGAATTTTTTTTTTTTAAATAAAAAAACTATTTTAGACCGAGGTCGTACCACCCAACCCTCGAGCCAATATTCTATCCGGGATTATAACATTTCTAATTACAACAGGAGTGTCTCTCCGCCTTTCAATTATGGCAAAAGTATTTATATTATCTCTTCTCTTCTCTGTCACTGTGTTTCTTTTTCAGCAGTCTATGTTATTTTTAAACTTTAAATAATTGTTTTGAGCTTTTTTTTTAAATTTAAAAATCTAATTTTACTCAGAAATGCATTCTATTATGTTTAGAAAACCCCTAATTGCATGTATTTTGGAAATATTTGTTATGAAATTTTGAACTTAATACGTTATGATAACGACAAAGTAATCTGGGATTCACATGGTAAGGTATTTATAAACATTCCGGAATGCTGGTTAAATTTTTTTTTTACAATTTCAAATTTGTTTATTTATAATTTGATACATTATTACAAAAGGTGGTAATGCGGGTAGTTTCAGAAGCAAGTCATACGAACCCCGGGCCAGCTTCCCCCATTTCATAGTAGTGGACAAGAGAGGCCAAAATTTGCCCCACGATGATATGTACGGGACCGATTTTTACAAGGAAGTTTTGGCGGGAAAATATAACGATCCGGATTCGGCGTTTCCAAATCTCAAATATTTGCCCGAAAATAGTCAAGGCAGATCAGGATGGTCTGGGTCCCTGCCTAGAACTTCCTCGTTGGGTTCCTACTTTGGAGGTGATAGCGTAGGAAGGGGTCAGAGCGGTACTACTTACAAAATGGCTTCTAGTCGCCCCGGAGAAGGTTAAATATTAAATGATTTTGGTTTGTTTGTTTCGAATAAGGATAGAATTTCGATATCATAGACAAGTTTTTTTGTAAATTTTATACTTGTTTTATTTCGCAATCTAAAGCACTGAATAGCACAATATTCATATAATTTAAAAAAATAAATGATTAGGCAATTAAAGTCTTTTATAATGATAAAAATAATTTCTTTTATTGATAATTTTTATATCTTTTACAGGTTACAATCAGTCTACTCAGGGTTATAACGATACAGGTTATAACCGGGGTGGTCCAGGGATTGATCAGATCGGGTACAATGACAGGGATTATTATAACGACTTTTCCGGAGTTACCCCTTCTTCCAATATTCAACCTGGCAAGCCGTTTGGCGCAAATGGTCAAACTAAAAAGCATGCCGGCGATTCCTTTAACCTCAAAAATTGGTTAGGTGAAACTTTCTTATCCTCCGACAAAAAAAGTAAAATTATTTGTCCTATATTTTTATCGATAAATTAAATTTAGAAATGTAACAATATTTCGCGGAAATTTTAAATATTTATGTTTAATCATCAAATTATGTTTTAACATTTAATATTCCAATTTTTTTTTAAAAAAATTACCACAATAATTTATGGATTATAGGCAAAACGCATCCAAAATTTTCATTGGGGGAGAGTGCTGCTATGATTTCCTCCCCTCTCCCTCCCTTTATATATTTACATATTATTAAAACTCTATTTATCATAGAAGCTGCTCCCACCAACGCTTACGAAGGACAGCAACAGTTTGATTCTAACAACAGATCTGCCTATCCTTCAGGCGGAAACTATGGCTATGCTCCTCATCCGACTGACCCCCAGTGGAGGGGAAATGAAGGTTACTATTACAAAGGTGGAGCACCTCCAGTCCCAGCTCCTCCAGTCTCAGCTGACTTTAACGCTCAGAATAGTTATTCCACTCAATTTGAATCGAATCAGTATGGGCACCCAGGGGCCACATTTGTGGCACCTGAGGCAAGAATCAGAGGTCTAGAGTTCTATAAGTTTAATTAGCGCTTAAATTGAATCGATATTTGTAATATAGTCTAATGGGTTATATACTATATTAAACATCTTATGTAAGGGAAATGATTAATCTTTACTAACAAATGTTTATGCAAACCTTTTTGTAAAAAATGCTTACTTTTTCTTGCATCTCTAAAATTTGTTTTTTTTTAATCTTTCTAAGTTCCCCGATGCTTAAGGTATCAATCAATTTGTCTAAAATGGAGGTGATTGGCATTGTGAAAATAATATCGATAATATTAAAACCTTATTTCTAGGTGGATTGATTAATTGATTGTATAAACGTTAAATTATTCGAATTTTTTTTTAAAAAAAACACCTTTATTTTCGCAGATGATAATTTTAGCAAAAATCTTTTAACCGAAACCACGATACCTGAATCAGTTAGTGAAAAAATTACAACTATTGAAAAAAAATACCACGACAGTAAAAACGAATATAATAAAAGTGCTCTTATACCTGTTTTAAGTCCAAAAGATGAGCAAGTTGTGCCATACGCATCCCCTCTATCAACTGTGAACCAGGCACCGAAGAATGACCTAACCAACAAAAGGGAAACAGAACTAGAGACGCAACCTGACATAGCAAAGACGACGACCGAACTCCCCAAAGGCGTTGAGATTAAGAAGAAATCCTCTCTCCTCGGCAAAAAGCCAAAAAAATTGTTGAATCGTTTGAAGGAATCCTTTAGCTTAGAACGCGAAGACAAAAAGAACAAAAATGAAGAGGAAAAAATTACCAAAGATGATTCGTCTAAACTAAACAAGAATGAAAAGCCCTTAGCAACTTTCAAGACATCAACTTCGACGAAAACAGATATATCTAATGGATTAATAAGTAGAGACAATGCAATATCCCTTGGTTCCACTTCGCCATCTTTAGGAAGAGAGGAATCCAATAATCAAACTGACTCTTACCACCTTGACTCTAGTTTAAAGCATGATAACTTTAGAGCATCTCCCATATCAGAGACTATCCGAAAAAAGAAAGATGACGACCAAGATGATTATGATGCATCAAAAACTTCATTTGCTTCGACACAGTATAATCAAAAGTATGTTCCAATTTTGTCCGATCAATCACGTCCCTTGATGTTCACTTCATCCACAGGTAAGTATACACCTGCAAAATATTCAGACCTCTCACAAAGTAAAGGACAAGTTCCAATGTCTGTCGATGGACGATACTCCTACTTGGACCCCAATAGGAAACCTTACGATGACTTCAGAGACAAAGTTCTAACTGACTCCATTTTCGCTGAAGATGCTGTTGATATCATTGCTGAAAATCCAGATAAACGATTCAAGGTGGTATTAGGGCCAGAAATAGCCGAGAAAATGGTAGATTACAAATATCTTGGTTCACCTTACAAGGATGATCAACCTAATTTATCATTCATTAAAGGTGTTGGAAAATCTATTCAGACTGCTGAAAATTCTACAGGTTTTTCTCAAAAATCGTCGAAACCACCTACTACTAACCACGTTAAGTGGCCGGCACCAAGTGCCCCTAAAGACGGTAAATTTTCTTACGTTGATCAAAAAAATAATCGTTACGCAGATAACCGGACGCCCGATCTCCGAGATTCTAAATTTAGGGAGGAGGTTTTACTTAGTAAAAAGGTAGATGATGATATTGATGATTCTCAATACGATAAAAATAATTTAAAATACAAAGGCGCTTCTTATAAGTTGCCACCCATAACTATACCCTCTACAGAGTATGATGAGTTGAACAAAAGGTATACAGAGGAATACAAAGGTAGGGATCCTATTGAGGAAAATTTCAGTTCCTCAATATACCGGCCTTGCCCTTGCAATGGGCCGCACCCTCACAGAATAGAGGATCACGAAGAGGAAATGCATGGTAGAGAAGAATTGGGAGATGGATCTCAAATTAGCCTAGCCTCTAATAAGGATGTTGAAAAAAATAGGAAAGACGACGGTTCAATAAAATATACGCAAGATTCTAAGAATGAAATGGACTACGAGATCGCAACCGGCCATTTATCTCGTAATAGTTTAATCTCAGACAATCTCAACCTAAATCTTTCTGAAACTTTGTTGAAGAAGAAAAAGGATAAGACCCCAGTTAAAGGATCGAATAAATATTCCGATTCCGACTTCAAAAATAATACGAATTCCATTTCGAGAAATAATGTAACCGTTTTGTCGGCGCCAGATATGATTTCGGGTTCGCCCCGGGAACCTACTGTTCAGCAAATAGATATGGACATCAAAAAAGACAAAGGTTTTCCTACAAATATTTCTCTCGAACAAAGGGTAGGGTCTTACGCCGATAAAATAATCCACGATTCTACATCTGAGATATCGAAAATTTCCTCTAATACAGATAAAGTGAATTCTCACATGTTTATTGACACAGAATTGAAAAGGAGACATGATCCTAATACTTTGACAGCATCCTCTTATTCTGATAAACCTGATGTAAGAAAGGATAGAGATACAACATATGATAAACTTGGATCATTTTCTGGAGATGAAAACGTTAGCAAAGGTGCCCCTATTTCCTCTACCGAAGAAACTCCTTCTGTAAAAACATCGGTTGAGGATAAAATATCAAAAGTTAAAAAGAAAAACTCGTTTTCCAAATTTTTTAGCAAAAAACCATTCGATAAAAAGGAACAAGACCTAGTCATCGATAGGAATGAATCAGACATCATAAAAAGTCTAGATGGGTATGACCTCAAACAGACACCCAAACAAACTGTAAGTTCCTTAACGGGTCGCGTAAGCGATCAATATGAAACCCATGTCACGAGCGCTAATTTCGTGGACTCACCGGAACAAAATCAATCATTGTACAACCAAAATATTCCAAATTATCAACAATCAAAATTTGACGATAATCTTCGTCGGTATTTGTCTAGTTCAAATCAAGATGATCCTAAATCAAGCAACATATCTAATATTCCGACCGATGAACATAAGGATAACACCAATAATTATGATAATAAATTAAAGGAAAATATCCCAACTTCTATAGATGAAACTCTGAAAGCAGGTTCAGATAGGTCTAAGGACACGATCGATACTAAATTTGATAAAGATTTTATAACTCAAGAATATGGTAAAGGGAGGGCACCAGAAATGGATGCGCCTAAACGAAAATCTACCAACAAACTTTACAAATTTTTTTCGCCTAAATACCCCAGTGAAAATATCAAAGAATCCACTGCTATAACGAAGGCCGATATTCAGACGCCCAATTTTTCTAGTGAAGATATATCATCATCACAAAATCAAACATTTCTAGACTTTAGCTCAAATGTAGAGTCAACCACTAGACTCGATCATAACTACTTAAAGGACAAAGTAAATCGGGAAATATTTCCAAAAGTCTCGGACTCCCAAATCTCATTGGGTACAGAATATAACGAGAAAAAAATTAACAAAGAAGTGAAATTCCAAGATGAACCAGGTTTCAAAACTGTAGCTACCGACTTCAAAACTACTGGAGACAGCGGTAAAGCCAAGTTAGGCGATAAGCTCAACCAATTTTTCGGCCCGACCAAAAAAAATCAAAAAGAAAGCCCGGTTATACGGGAAACCGATAAATTTTTGTCAACGATGACTGAAAAGCCGGTTTCCTCATACCAAAGTGATATTTTATCTAAAGGCGCTACCCCTTCTTCCGTTAGCTATTCGAGCCAGGAAAAATCTGCCGGGCCCGGGAAGTTTGTCAGTGGATACATCTCACCGAAAACCGACCATGTCAGCATGTTGCTCCCAAAAAACGAATACATTGTTAATCCAAATCGCTTCTCCAATCTAAGAGATGAAGAGGGTTCCGGTACTAAATCTTCATCACAACCGGAATACTCTTCTTCTAAGGATATTACTACAGAAAAATCCAGGGGACTCAAAGATGAGGATGATGTCGCGACTAAAGGATCTGGGCCCGGTTCCCATGCCAATTCTAGCGAAAGGGCTAGTCAATCCAGGTCTTCTTTCTTATTTGATCAATTTGGTAATAATCTAGATACCAATATAAATGCTAAAACCCGAACCTATAAAACTCGTACGGATACTGGTTACGAAACCGAAGAAAATGAAGATCGTCATCTTGATAAATCATCGAAGGAGGCATTTAAAAATGTCGACTCAACAGCAGGGGTTCTAGGAAGTTCTAATACACTACCCTTATCCAGAAGCGCTCAAAATGAACGCGACGAAGGAGACGCGGGAAAGAAGAAGAAACGCAACAAGTACTAACTATAATTTTCCATGAATATTTTTAAACTATCTAAATATTGTTTACTAAAAAAAATTAACTATTGATTTAACGAAATATTAATTAAAATTAGAAAAGGGTTTTGGTTGTTCGATTTGTTTTCAGAGGATACTTTAGACCGCAAAAAAAATAAATATTACGACACCGAGAAGAATGAAGGGGATTTTCCGATCAGCGATTCCTTTAACAAAGTTACTAAGGAAAAGAAAAAGGAACAAGATGAAACACTGGATTCGAAGATTGACACAATCATCCCTAAAAGGGACATTATACATAGAGCCCCTAAGAATTATGGTTCTTCTACTAACGATCCTACAGCAAATATTCAGAAATTAAATTCCAAGCAAGACATCGTTGCAGATGGTTACCATTCTGATAACGAGATTATTTCTCCTAAGTAAATTTTTTTAACAAACTCAAAAGTTATTAACAAAAACCCAAATAATTTTTTCATTATCAAACAATTCCTCTTATCTATACACTCTTTGTTAAAACAATGCAACCTTTACAAATAAACAAATTTAAGGAGAGAAATTTACTCGCATATAATTTTTTACATTTATAATCTTTATAGTTATGAATGAATGTCAAGATTATTAAAATATCTATTTAACTAGATATTTATTTAAGGAATTCAAGAGGTTTTAAAAGTTGGAATAATTAAAATGAAAAAAATTATGCATGTGTTATAGATATTTTGTCGAATTTAATCTCAAACTTTTTAGTGTGTTTGCACGTTTATATGTTTTAATTATACCTTTTTTCGACTAACATACTACAACTTGCTTTGCTATTTTCATTTCTTTCAAAATTTATTTATAATAAAAAAATATAATTATATTTCTTTTTTGATTATTATATTATATTAATTTATTATTTTTTTAATTATAAATAAATAAAAAAAAATATTTATATCTCTTATCCGTTCCCCGGGGATTATTCTTCCACATAAATTCAATGTCGTCTCATACAAAAAAAAATTTATTAGATGAAAAACAGCTCAGTTGACAGTGTAATCTAATAACAGAGCCCTCTGCAAATTGTTATAATATATATCAAACGTACATATTTTTTATTAAATTATTTTATATTTTCTATATTGATTTCATTGCTATATAACAATATAACTAAATGCCAGTCTTTAACTTTAACACCTATTATTATAATTTAATATAATAATACTTTATAATATATATATATCTATATATATATTGTAATATTATACTAATTAATATGACATTTAACTATTTCGTGCGAATTTTATGTGAAAATCTAACACAAACTAACGAGAATGCTGTTAATTGAATGTAGTAATAGTATGAATTTCGATATAAAATTTTTAATCTCAGGAATATTCTGTGGAGGGTATAGATTTGGAGGATCAATCTTAATTTTATCTCAAAAGTTAATAAACGCTTATAAAATCGCGTTTAATAATTCATTACCTCTGCCGCGAATATTATTTTTACAAACATAACTTAAATTTTAATTAAAATCAAATTTAAAAAAAAAATTATCATAATTTTATTTTTTTTTAAATTTATTATTTATTTTGTTTTTCAAACAAACATAATATAAAATAGGTTTCAAAAACAATTCGATAAGGAATTACGACAGATAGAAAATATCATCCTTAAAAATAAAATTAAAATTATTTTAACACTGTTGGCTTTCTTTTTATTTCTATCATTCTGTTTCATGTCTCAAAATTTAATCTTTTAGCACCCAATTAAACACTAATTTATATTATTTTAATTTAATGCACACACACAATACAATATTTGTAAAACAATAAATAGACATTCGTTAAAAAAAATATTTTTTTTATAATTATATTATTATTCCTATTATATAATTAAAGTTTACACCTTCAAAATATTATATTATATACATATATATATATATCTTTACCTAATTAAATATATACACCTAACAGATCATAGAAAACTATTATATTTATACATAAATCAAAATCAAATATAAACAATTACATTTGAATAAAATTTATTTGAGCGAAAAAAGTCTAGTAGAAGTGTTAGAGGATATGCTTCTAATATTTTTAGTAGCGTCAACCAATAAACGATCGCTAGGAAGATCCTTAAGAGTTAGGATACCAAGTTATTTATTAATTTTACATGATTAAAGGAATGATAAGGCTTTAAGAGATTTTATTTGGGAAAAATCCAACTATCCTATTTGGTTAGAATTTACAAGCGACCAATAAAGTGTTAATAAAGTTATTATTTGGAAGAAAAAAAAGAGAAACAATATATGTAAAATATTTTAGGGAGATGTTATAAATTTAGTTTGGTAAGCGGGGAGCGATAAAATTTAGAAAACTTTTATTGTTGATTGATTCATTATAAAACAATATCATTTATTTCCAAATATAATATGTGTATATAATAAATATTTTTCATATTTAAAATAGATAATATGTATAGAGTATTTTAAGTTTCAAATAATAAATAATTGCTTCCATAAATTACATCATTTAATTTTAGTTTATAGAAACTATGATCTTGAGTGGTCTAAAGCAATACGATAATATTAATTTAAAATTAAAACAAATAGAATAAAATAATACTTTCCAAGGTTAAATAAAGAGATTTAGATATTAAGTAATGACATTATAATAGCCATAAGCATAGCCTAGGTGGGAGGGGGGGGGGGTGGTATCAACCTTCAGAAATTTATCCGTTCTCGTAAATATCATTTCAAGTTAATAAAAATTACCCACTTTCTCCCTCAAAAATTTATCCAAATATATCACTATACACGATAATTTGAAAGACAAATAGACAACAGTTAATGGATTATTTAAAAGAATTACTAGTTAAATATTTTTATAATAAAAAATGAAATGTAACATAGACAAATGTCTACAAATGGTTATCTTAAAGATCTCCAATAAATTTTATGGCGAAAAAATAACTCATTGGTGCCCCCCCCCCATTATCTTAGCAAAATTCTGGATATGTCTATATATAAAGCAATGTGTCATTATATAATATAATAATAATATTGTCCGCTATTGGTGGATTTAAATGTCTAAAAGATTACCTCAATTAAAAAAAAATGGAATTCACTTTTATATGTTTCAAAATTATTTAAAATACTATAATTATATTTTTGTTAGGACCTACATGTGATTCTAACGTCTAAGTACCATAAATTTAGGTCTAGACATTAAATTTAACAACTCTGATGAATTATATATACAATTTACCAAATTCATTGTATATTATTTTAATTAAATAAAGTCCTGGTTATAGCCAACACCCTTGGCCACTATGATTTGCAGGAACAGGCTTACTAGGTTTAAAAATTTAGCTCTTTGCGGAATTCTTTGAGTGTTTAACAAAATTGAGGGGAGTAGCATTTATCATTATATTATTATTACATTTCCTTATCAATTTTTTTTATGTTTTTGCATTTATAATTCATATATTATTATTATTTCTGAATGTTTTAAATAGTTTTCCTTCAAGGATTAAAATATTTTTGTTTTAATAAAACTCACTCACATTCGGTAAAATCTAAGAGACACCTAAAGCTGTGCTAGAATAAATGAATATGAAAAACAAAATTTAAATCCCTTTATCTAAGCTTCTTAAAAATTTATTAAAATTTGGGCATTTTTGCCCCGGGACCTCTTTGTGCAGGATATTTATGCCCGAGATTGTAAAATGATTAAAAAAAATACAAACCAAAAATTCTCATTAAAAAAACAACTGTAAAATCTACGCTATATGTTATATTTAATCGTAATTTGCCTCATTTGTATAATGGATTGATGGCGGAGGTAATAGTAAACTATGTAAAATAGGAATATATTCCAAATGAAAAGTGTCAATTATCGAAATAACTAAAAATATTTCAAATCTCAAAATAAACAGTTTTTTTAAAAAAAAAGATATTAGTTAGTTAGCCATTACTTCTTGTCGCACTCTATAATGGACATGTCGGCTAAATGTCTCGTCATACGGTTGTTACTCCAGTGATTTTGGCAAGAAACGAATTCTTCCAGCGTGAGCTCCGACAAATTTTGGAGGTGATCGAAGCATGTAGGGCGAAATATCAATTTTTCTTCGCACATTATGAATTGTTGGGGCCAATCATTGCCACGGAGAATATTATGGTATTCGCTCAAATATCTTTTCAAGGGTTCTCTCAAAATCGTCACAAAATATCTGCTCTTATTAATTTCGTATTCGGAATTTAAAATTTTAAGAAAGAAAGAAAGAAAGAAAGAAAATTTAACAAAAAAAAAACTCTTATTGAAATCAACCAGTATGTGGAGTAAAAGGCTAAAACCCATATAAAAATTTTGAAAATTTACAAAAAAAAACTTATATGAGATTGGCAAAAATCATTGAAATTGCTTAGTTAGTAAATATAAATTTAGCATATTCCACTACAAGGAATTAAATCAGGCGAAGGAATCATAAAATTACTCAGTAAAATATTTGATTTTGTTTTAAAAATAAATTATTATTTTAGGCCATACCTCTATTTTTAAAAACGGCTAACTCAACATTATAGCCAGGAAAATATTGCCTAATTTTGCTAATTGATGGCTAAACCATTGTGCCATATATGAGCAAAATCTTGAGACTTGGGTAACATTGTTCTAGGTAAAATATCGAGTCAGCCGTTTTTAAAAATCGGCTCAAATCGGGCCGTTTAACAACACGAACTTAGAGCTTTGTTGAAGAAACCAATAGAAATGATCAGAGTTGTTAAAAGATACTTTTTAAATGGATCTGGATACAGATACATCGTCTAAAATAATATCTAGATACCGATATTTTAATCAAAAATCTATCTAGATACAGATACCACATTTTTATATCCTTTAACAACTCTGGAAATGATAATAGTAGTGGAAAAAAATCATAAGATTGACTAGAGTTTTAAAATCATAAAATTTTTTGAACAAAACAAGGTTTGAAGATTTTTTTTTTACATCAAAATTCACAAAATGATTTTTTGAAAATGATTTTGGCATTTTTTAGGCCAAAATTTTGTTCACTAATCTCTCTTCTTCAAAAAATAAATATCTTAGCTTAAAAAATTTTTATAAATTTTTTCAAACTCTATAATCTGGCATACGCATAGCCAGGATTTACGGGAAGGAATGGAGGGTACTATTAAATAAAGTTTACCCCCTTAAAATTTATTGGAGATATTTAGATCCACTTATTGCAGGGCCTTTGGATATGTTAATAATAAATTTAACTTTTTTTTCTGATAATTTTGAATTATAAATCTTTCTTTAATTTTTAAAAAAATATTCACTTTTTAACCTATTTATTTTTAAAATTCTTGTTTACAATTGATATTTTTTTTTTTACATTTTTAAGAGAGAGGGTGTATGGAATGTGGGAATGGGAAGGGGGGGGGGGGTATATATTGGTAATTTTTATTAACTTAAAATGATATTTAAGTAAATATGCTAATTTATGAAAAGGGTATTTCCTTTTGACACCCCTCTTCCGACCCCGGCTACGCCCGTAAATATATTATTGTTTATAAAAAATTTAGAAATACATTGGATCATCACTGAATAACTTTTCGTATCTCTCCTTCGGAATGAATATATCGTCCTCCACCTTAATATAATTTTCCGCGATAAAATTTAGGTATGAACTGGGGTCCTTTGACAAACGCTTAAGTATCATTGCTATGGGTAGGCAGTCTATCATGCGAACATATATGCAGTGCAACCCGCAATATTTCCAACCATATGTGAGTCTGCTATATAGCCAACCTTCGGTCATGTATTTGCCTTCATTATTCATTACGCTATTCGATGTTTTAAGAATTGGACGTGGGCAAAAGCATTTTTCTTTGATACCTATGATCTTGCATGAACAAACCGGATTTACTCGAACATTGTGTACCAATATAGAATTGAATTTCGTTCCGCCGGTCTTTTGGATATGCAAAAATGCTAGTATATCTTTATCGAAATTAAAATGGATTGGCTGAATGGGGTCTAACAAACAATAGTTCCCAAAATCGTGGTATTTATAACCAAAATGCATACAATTTTTCTTAACATAACGGGAATAATCAGGGAAAGCCCGCCAAAGTTTCAAATAAGCGTACGAATCGCTAACTTGCCCTAACCAAGTTCTATTGTACTGGTCATAATCTTCGTTGACGATTAAATTCACTCTGCCATTTTGGTGACGAGAAATTTCATCGATTTCTAGGTGGAAATGGTGCCTAGAAAAAATTCTGCGAATGTAGATATACTTATGGTGGCATATTTTTGATCGGTAAATATATATCAAAATCAATCCATAAACAAGAAGAATTAATGAGTAGGTGATCAGTGTACGAGCATTGCTGAAAACATGTTGATTTTTTTTGTTTGAAAATATACACATTTATTTTACTTTAAAATTTTACTAATAATAATTAGGCCATGTCCTGTGATTTGCATTTATAATAACTTCCTCCAACCAACCTAAAAAAAAAGAAAGAAGGAGGTTATTTAGATTTACCTATAAAAGATCATTTATTTGTTACGGAAAATAAAATAATATTATAATGTATACAAAGTTTAAAACAAACCAAGAATTAGGGTGTCCTAGTACAAGATCTGTTTAGCCTGCCGAGCTAAACAGGAATAGGTTTCAAAAAAATAATGAGACGAACCACAGAACATGGCCTTTACGATTTTTTTAAAAACGGCTAACTCAATATTTTTATCTCAGAAAAATATTATGCAAGCCTAA